TAAGCATGGCGGGTGGAGGGGGGTATTCATGGGAGGCAAAGGTTGAGAGTTTGGTTCTGGGGACCATTGCTTTCCCGACACTCTTCCTGTCCCTCGTACCCTCCTTTCCACGCCATTCCGTGTCCTCATACACCCTCTGACCTTCCTGTGGATCGCGCCTTCCTCCCAGGGCGCAGCTCTGTGTCCTCCCCTCCAAACTATCCCTCCTCCCCCACCCTCCCGCAGGCCCAGGCTACGCACCCTTGCGAGAGGAGGCGGTGCGGCTGTTCCTGGCACTGCAGGCGCTGGAGGGGGCGCGGCGCCCAGGGCCCCTGATGCAGGGTGTGCTCCAGACCTGCCGGGACCTGCCTGCACTCCAGGACGAACTTTTCCTGCAGCTGGCTAAGCAGACCTCAGGTCCTGCCGGTCCCCCTGGGCTCCCTGCCACTCAAGATCCTGCCACCCTGCGCTACTGGCAACTTCTCACTTGTATGAGCTGCACTTTCCGGCCTGGGGGAGCTGTCCGAGGGCACCTCCTGGGACATTTGGAGAGGTGAGAAGAAGAGATGCCTCAGCCAAACAGCTCGAGGGCTGGGAGAGAAAGACAGACAGGTGCGAGAGAAGTGGAGATCCAGAGAAGGGAAGGGATGCCCAAGAGCAGGCCAGCTGCTATTAACACAGTCAGTACCTTCGTGGGAATTGCAAGGTCATATCCCACTTATGAGCAGGTGACTTACAACAAGGCACTCTTTTTGAATAGAAGACCTAGAAAAACGGCAGGATTTCAGAAAGCGTAGTAACGTGGTTGGAGTTCAGATTTTAATCACGGGAAGATCAGGGAGCTGGAGGAAGTGGGCGGGGCAGTTGTAGAAGAGAAGGCAGGAGACTTCGAAAATAATTCAGCTCTGTGTAAAACACCCGGGACACATTTAGGTTGCACTCAAGAAATGTGACATATCGGGAAGGAAACCGACCGGATGTAATGTTTTTCCCCCATGCTGGGGAATCCTGCCTAGACCCTCAAGCATGCTAAGAAGCCACCGAGCTATGCATTTTCACCCTTGGCCAAGTAAAATAAATTACGATAAAGGAAAGGACAAGAAACCCTTGGAACACTAGTCCTTGGATTCCCTTTAATTCAGAACGGAGCAGGCACTCCCGGACTCAGAACTGGCGGAATATGCACGCTTCATTCGGAAAGCTCTGGGCCGGACTCGGGGTCGAGAACTGGTGCCTTCGCTAGCAGAGATTTCCGCGCTGAGTAGACGGCAGGAGCTGTTGTGCACCGTGCACTGTCCTGGGGCTGGAGCGTGTCCTGTGGCCATCGACTCCCACACTACAGCGGGAGAGGTGAGGCCAGAGAAAGACTCCCTCCTGCGCTTCCGCAACCCGCCCTTCCAGCTTTATTTATCCACGGTACTGGTGACGGAACCCAGAGTCTCCAGCATGCTAGGCACCCTTACCAGCATCTCATGCCGGCTCTAAGTTTGCCCCTAGTCTCAGATTTGTTGCTTTGGAAAGTTAGTGAATGGTGGTGAGAAAACTAAGCGACCTTCTCCAGTAGGTTCAGCTCTTTCCAGATTTTGAAAAAAGACCTCCCTCCTCCAGAGTGACCTGACTTTGCTCTTCCTCCCCTCTTCCTAGGTGGCTCGAGAGTTAGTGGGAAGGCTGGGTTTGGATCGGAGCCGGAACGCTTTCGCCTTGTATGAGCAGCGAGGGGCCCAGGAGCGAGCCCTGGCTGGGGGGACCCTCGTAGCCGACGTGCTCACCAGGTTTGAGAAGTAAATGTCCAGCCCCAGCCCTGCGCTGTATTGACCAATCTACTTAGCTTTTGTCCACCTTTAAGCACGTTTATCTAGGCGTGCCAGTAGCTCGCTAATCTGCAGACAGGTTTCTACCCGCCGGTGGCGTGCAATCTGACTTAAAAGGCTCGCCAGGGCTCCACCACAAAAGTTTCTTGGTCCCGCCCCTTTCCATGGCAGCCTGAGCCCATGGGGGCCCTGCTTCCCAGTCTTAATGCATCTTTTTCCCTAATGCAGTTTGACCTCAGAGGAAGCCGGACTGGAGGACTCGCCCGATTCCGGGTGGAGACTGTGCCTTCGTCTTCACGGACCTCTGCACCCAGAAGGGCTATCTCCAGATGGTCACGAATTGCCTTTCCTATTTGAGCAGGTGAGATCTCTGGTTTTTACGACTCCAAATCGACCACAGCCTGAACCCGTATTCCGGACCGTCTTCAATTTGTTGTGACAACCCCGTGGGAGACTTTTCCTGAACCTAGACCTCCTCAGATTCCGTGCCCGGAGGTGTCTTCACAGCTCCTACACTGACGCCGCCTGCCTCCCTTGCAGGCTCACGCTCTGCTGCTGCGCGGCCGGCCGCCCCCGCCTGATGATACGCTGCGCGCCCTGGCGGCGCTGCGCCTGCAGAGTTTGCACCGGGACTTTTCCCCGCGGGGGCCCCTGCCACGCCTGGACCGCCTGCTGCCGCCCCCCACCCCACCGCGTGAACAACCGCTGCGCCCTACCCCCAGGCCACAGTCCTCCGCTGCCCTGCTGGCCGGGGCGCTCTGGAGCCCAGGTCTGGCCAAGAGGCGGGCGGAGCGTGCCCGGCGCGGCTGTACCGGCTGCTCGACGGGAAGCACAGCCCAGGTGGGAGGAGACGGCACCAGCACGACGGCCGCGGTGCTGGGAGGCTGGAAGAGGCTACGGGGCATGGGCCAAGCTGAGGCCATGGCTGCCTATCTGGCTCTGGCGGCGCAGTGTCCGGGGTTCGGCGCTGCTCGGTATGACGTTCTGGAGCTGAGCACGGTGAGGGGGAGAAGGGAAAAGGGGACTCTGGTGGTCCAAGTCCCAACACTTTTACTCCAGAGCCACAGCCCCCCACCCCAGCTGGGTTATTTCATTTCCGACATGTTAGAACAGCTATCAGCTGCCCATCTCCAACCCCTGGACTCCCCAGCATTTGGGCTTGCACCTCCAGGTGCTTGTGGCCACTCCACACCTGTGCTGTGTGAATCAAGGGTCAAGGAAGCTCCCAGATCACAGCCAACTGCCCCTACCAGAAATAAAGGTGCAAAAGCCCCGCCTACGACTCTGACCCCGCCTGCCCGTCTCTTTGCAGGAGCCTGGTGGAGGTGCTCCACAGAAGCTATGCCTGGGTTTGGGAGCAAAGGTCATGTCGCTCTCCAGGCCTGGTGAGACAGAACCCATCCACAGTGTCAGCTATGGTCATGTGGCCGCCTGCCAGCTAATAGGCCCTCACACCTTAGCCCTGAGGGTGGGTGACAGCCAGCTCCTCCTGCAGAGCCCCCAGGTGAGAACCGGTTGTGGAAGACAACATGGGTGTTTGTGCAACTTTAGACTCTAGGGCTCCAGCTGTGGCCTAAGGAAAAGTAAGGAGCTTATGTTTGATTTGGGGGAGGCAAATGGTAAATGGGAATCAAAGATTAAGAGAGAACTACTACAAACTGTAACAGGACAGGCCTTGACCGGAGGAGAGTCCTGGTAGCTGTGGGAGTCTCTTTGAGATGCGAGGACTTAGCACTTAGTGTGTTGGCAGATCAGAAAGGAAAATGCCTGACACCCCGAGTGGAAGGGGGGGGGAGGGCTGAGAGGAAGAGAAGGTTGCCAGGACTAGAGCCTGCAGGAACCTACCTGGTAGGGGAAGCTGGAACCCGGGAGCTCCACGAGAGGAAGGGAAGTCAAAAGAAGTGAGCCCAGTGGGCCCTGTTGCACGCTGACCCCCTGTTGCACACTGGCGCCCGCTCTCTCTTAGGTGGAAGAGATCCTGCAGCTGGTGAGTGCCTACTTGGCCAACCCCTCCTCGGAGAGGCCCTGCAGCAGCTCTGCTCCTCCAAGCCGAGACCTGCCAGACACCTCCCCTCCCAGCCAGCACCAAGGTCTGGAAGAGCCCCAGGGACAGTCTGGATGCCTGGGGCAGCTGCAGGACTAAGCCTGCCAAGAGGTCACGACTTTTCCTTTGCCTCCAGTCGCTCTGAGATTGGAGGAAACCATGGACCCTTTTTGGCCCTGCAGGGACAGGGTCCACCCACACTCTCTCTAGGCGGGCAATGTGTGTGGACAGTTTTTCTAGTTTGTTTCTTAATTTATTTGTAGAAGGAAAAAAAATCCTTATTTACACAAACCCTTCCTGTGCGAGTGTTGTTGGTGGGACAAGTTGGAGTTCCGTGGCTCTGCCCTTCACCCCCACCCCCACCCCGGGCTTTTGCGGGTGCTGAGGGGAGTCTGAATACCACAGAGCTCCACCCTCCTTGACCTTCTGGATTTAACCTCCTCCTGGCCAGGGAGCCATCACATGATGGTGGGTGGGGCAGGCAATAAGGCTGTACTGGAAGCTGGCAATTACTCATCCTCTGTTCTCGTGTGGAGTGGTGAGGGGTGGCCCCCTGACATCCGTGGGCTGGAGGGCAGTGAGTCATCAAGACTGGCACTATGCAGGTCCTACCTCGGTGTTCAGCTCCTGAGCCCTAATGGGGTATGTGTTTGGTTACCCCATGCTTTCAGAATAAAATGGAGAGGTGCCCGGAGCAGCAGGCAGATGTAAAAACATCTCTGGCACAAGGGGCACTAGGCCTCCTCTTGAATTTTTATCCTCTCAGGTCTGGTTGAGTGGTGCTGAGCTCCTGGAGACTCTAGTGGTTCCTAGGCACTCTGCACTCCTCAGGCCTAGCTCTTCTGACTTGCTCAGAAAACAGCTCAGCCCCTTTGCCCCTAGACCCTGTTATCACCTCCATGAGTGTAAGAGGCTATGGCAGCATCACGCAGCTGAGGACAGCAGCTTGGGCACCGAGGACACAATGGATCACGATGTTTCAATAATGCCCAGAGGGACTGGCCCCTAGTAAAAGAGGCTTTGAGGCAAGGGGTGCCGTTGCAAACACACTGAGACCTGGGCTGAGGAGGAAGGCGTCTGAGCAGGTGAGGCCAGCACACTGTCATGTGCCTGGATACGGAGGTGTGCCCACCCAGTCCACGGAATCACAGAGCAAGCACTTAATATTCATCATCAAGCTTTATTTTATTAGAAGTAACCAAGCAAAATAAGAACTAGGCATGCAAGAGAAGATAGGAGCAGCGGTGGTCACGCACCTAGAAACGCAAGATAAGGTTGTGAGGGTCCAGGCATAGTGGGAGACTATAATCACTGCTCCTGGGTGCCCCAGGAGATGTAATCTGGCCGTGTAGCAGCATGGTACTCATCAATGAGCTCTTGGACCACCTCCCTGGACCTGTCCATCTCCTCGAAGTTGTCTTTGAAGATGTCCTCCTTGCGGAACTGCTCAAGGAAGGCCCCCCGCTTCCATAGTTTGTCATACTGCTGGCAGGAACTTTCAAAAAGCTGGAGAGGAGGAGAGAGCTTCAGAATGGCTTCCAGTTCAGGACACCAACTAGGGACAGACTGGGAAGGCTGATGACAGTACACAGTGGAACACAGTGGCCAGGAGCCAGGGGTGTGGCTCCCAGGTGGCAGCATTGCCTGCCATTCCTGAAGCCCTGGGTTTGCTCCCTGCTAACACACAGACAACAGGAGACTGCTCACCGAGGAGATACTGGTGTGGTTAGCCATCATGAGCCCGCTGACCCGGTGGGCTGATGGCAGGTAGGGAGACTTCCTTGACAGGGCCACCTGGATGCTGGCTGGGCCCCATGGGATGAAGTTGGCCAACTTCCTTTCCCGGATCCTCTGCAGGCTCTTGTGGACCTAGGGTGGACAGAGAGGTGGTGGCTGATTCTCCTTCAGTCTGTGGACCAGAGGGTACGGTGATGGGGCCTCCTTTACCTGGGTGGGGTCCACTTCTCCCTGGATGATGTTGAGGATGGCGATGTAGCAGTGGTTGGTCTGGCGATCCCGGCCTGTGGACACCATCACGTTCTTGGGCTGTAGCAGCCGCCTCATGACATCCAGGACCGTTGTCTTCCTCACACTGGCCACCTGAGGGAAGGGGGGGTTCACAGGGACAATGTGAGCAGTCAGGGAGCAACCCAGAGATGCATGGACAGACAGAGAAGAGTCTGCTATGTCCCCATCAGTTTGGAGGTGGCTTGGTCTCATCAGGTCTGTGCTGAGTCTCTGCCATGGGGTTAGGGCTCGGCTCTCAGCTCAAACCCATGCCCTTGTGCATGAGCAGAAGCAGATCCCAGCCAGCACTGCTCCTGCAGGAGCCAGAGGCTGCGCAAAGCGGAGATGGCAGCAAGCAAGTGGCACGGTGTTGGTCCCTGAGAACAGAACCTGGGGAAGCTGGGTGCAGAAGAACTCAAAGGCAGCTCATGGCACAGCAGGGGGGAAAAGCCACAGTCGGGGGGGGGGGACCCCGCGGGAACTCTTACTGACTGGTCCGTGGTGAGAGGTGTATAGCCAGTCATGAGGAAGTGGAGCCGAGGGGTGGGAATGAGCGAGGCGATGAGGCCGATGAGGTCATTGTTCATGTAGCCAGGATAGCGCAGGGTGGTGGTGCTGGCTGACATGATGGTGGACACCTGGGAACGGGAGATGCGATATTATGGGATGGGATGGGGGTGGAGTGTCCTCTGAGGATCCTCTCGTAGAGGGCTTCCATTCCAGGAGTGGGACTCACCAGCTGGTTGATCTGGGAGAAGGATGGGTTCTGGATGTGCAGGCGGTCTGTGGCGATCCGGTTCAGGGCTGTGTTGTCCAGCACCACCTGGCAGGACGGAAGGAGTCAGTGACATCTTTTGTGGCCAAAGGGGACACTGATGTAAGATGCAGACAGCTTTGTCTCTGCAAACTCCCAAACCAGGAAATAGGTTTGCTACCTTCAAAGAAATATACCATCTCTGGGGTCCGAATGACATGTTACTGACATGATACAGGACAGTGAGCAAATACGACTCCCACATGCCTTGGTTCTGAAGACACTTTAGAGGACACAAGACATGGGCTTTGCCACCATTGGGCCTACAGTTTAGGATAAAAGCAGCTTTTGAAACGAGGCTGGAGGCAGAGCTTGCTTGTGTGCAGTGGTTTTTAACCAATAAATCCAGCAGGCGCTGCCACACACACTCCTAATTCCAGTTACCCAGGAAGCTGAGGCAGGGGGATCACAAGTTTGAGGCCCAGCTAGGGCAGTTTAGTAAGTTCCTGCTTCGTTTTCTCTTCCTTTTCTTCTTTTCAGTCTCTAGACTATGGCTCAAACTGTCTTGGGACCTAACTATGTAGCAAGGCTATTAGTGAACTAATTAATAGTGATCCTCCTGCATCAGCCTTCTGAAAAATGGAATTTCAGACATAAAGTACCACGCCCAGCTAAGACCCTGTTACTACATAATTAAAGTAGGTTAACAATATACACAAGGGATCTGAGCTTGCCCAAACAATGGGAAAAAGGTTTTCTTGCAAATGTGACCCTTGAGTTCAAGCATAAGGAGACATTAAAGAGGCAAAATGGGGTGTCTATCAGGAGGGGGAGACAATCTTTGCTGAGACTCATGCTGCCCCAAAGGCCAGGAAGCTGCTTGGAAGTTGGGATCTTAATTCATAATCCGACCCACATATTGTTTTGTTTTTGTTTTTGTTTTTGTTTTTGGTGGGCCAGGGCTAGAAAAAAGCAAGGGCTGTCTTTTGAAGGCAGGCCAAGCTCCTGCTTGGTCTTCCTGAACTCACCACACAGTCTGCATTCTGGGTCAGCCGCTTTAGGGTGAGGAGGGAGTTGTAGGGCTGCACCACCACGTCGCTCATCTCGTCCTGGTTGGGAAACACCGAGTATGTCTGCACCAATTTCTTGGGGTACCTAGGGGCAAAGGAGAGGGAAAGGAGAAGGTGTCCAGTAAACTGTAGGACCTTAGTGACTCCCAATCTCCTTTCCGAGGGCCACTCAGCTCTTGTACAACAGCAGCAAGAGCAGACCTCAGTGTTCAGCACCCAAAGGATAAGCCACAGTTCTGTGGGCCTCAAGGTAACGAACTTCCCAACTCTATGCCAGTTATTGCTTCCAAGGTTTGACCTGGATAGTTCTGTCTCTATGATTCGGGGAGGGACGGAGTAGAAAAAAAAACTTTCAGCTCAAGGAGCAAAAAGAACAACACTGAAGTCATCTAGGAATTCCACTTCAGGACCTGATACTGTGACAGATGCCCCAGCCTAAAGGATACCTGAGAAAGAAAGGGCTCCCTTGGTTTTCAGTTCCAGGTTACAACCCATTATCTCAGGAAGTTAAGGTGGGATGTCCACAGTCAAGAACAGAGAATCTGTTATCTTTTCTTGCTGGCTGGCAGCTAGCTTTCTCCTCTTTTGTGCTGTTCAGAAATCCCTAGGTGAAGTCCTCCTTTATCACTTAACAAGACGGTCCCTTCCAGACATGCTGACAGGCCAACCTGATCTAGATAACTCCTCATCAAAACTCCCTTCCTATTGGTAAGGTGACTTCCACCTCGTAAGGTGACTCACTGGGCAGGGTAAAGGTGCCTGCCACCACTCTTAATGACCTGAGTTCACTTCCTGGGACCCACACAGTGAAAGGAGAGAAGCGACTCCCACACACTGACCTCTGCACATACGCAGGGACAGGCACGTCTCCCCGAAGGTAAACAATAAAAATGTAATTAAAATATTAACCGGCACACCAGGGAATCAGGGCTAATGACCCCTTCCCAAACACAGGCTTACCTGTCATTCAGTCTTTCTAGGAGGTACGAGCCCAGACCAGAGCCTGTCCCTCCAGCAATGGAATGGCACAGCACAAAGCCCTGGATGGGGAGAGAGAAAAGGGCAGTGGGCAGGGATCTCAAGGAGAGATTTTGGCCTGGTGCTGTAATATGAAAAATGATGCAAGAGAGAAAGATTTCATGTGACAGCTCAGGTGGAGGGGTTTTGTTTTTAATTGGGGGGAAAGTAAATGGGAAAAGGTGGGAGTGGGGAGACTGGCCTCTGGGGACAGGAGGGGCAGAAGAAAGAGGAAGAGATGGCAGGTGGGCAGGGCCCTTTTAAAGGGGAACCTAGTGAATGCACACAGGAGGTGCTCTTAGTGGCTACAGCCGAGGACATATACCCCAAGGTCAGGCCAGCACAGATGCTTAAATACTAACACCTTGTCTCTGATGATGCTTGGGAAGGCTCCAAGATCAAGCAGAAGCTGAGGGACCCATGTCTAAGATGCAGACAGTGTTGAGAGTCTGATTTCTCCGAACAAAACAGTATTTTAATACCCTAGTGCTCCCTGGATCCTGTCCCCAAATGGACGTGGAGTGAATGTTTTCGCCACATCATGTGTTGAGAGCATGCCTGGTTTTTCTCCCAGCATGCTTTACTGTAGAAGAACCTCACCTCTAGACTGTCACTTCCATCGGCTTCTCGGTCTATGATGTCAAAGATGTCCTCATGAATTTTCTCACCCTGG